TCACCTGTTACCTGAATGTAGAAGCAGTGAAATAGCCAAACCAAAGCTGGTAGCAGTTGGACATGGCTAGCTGGGTTGTTAGACTGAGAGGTGGTCAAGCGAGTCGACTGTGTTACGACAAAGCAGAGCGAAGTAGTAGTTTGTTAGTAGCTGCACAGGCTACCAAATAAACCAGATATTCAACCAACTAGCCACCCAGCTGGTTTGCCAAGTAGCCGCGGAGTATATATGGCAGATTTAAAGTTTTTAATCGCATTCGACATGCTCCGCCCAGCAAATACTTAATGGGTATTTGTGGCATGTATGACTTTGCGTTTCTGAAATCGCGCGGAAGGCAATAAGCTGCGGTCGTTGTCGTCACCCACAAGTGGCCATAAGTCATGAAAATTTGTAATTTCACACTTTTATGCCCCAACGAATAGGCGAGAGCAGCACGTGGCTCCATGCATGCATGACTGCTTATGTGCTTTAGAACTTACTTACTTATGGTCTAACAAGTTTATGGTCGGCTATGCTTGAGCTGTGATGTGTGTGATAATGGTAAGAACCGATTGTTATTGCCAACTTTGTTTAAATGGCGATAAACAAGCAATTCGGCTAAACTTTGGCTAAAGCGAAGTGGAAGAGAATAAACAGAAGACGAAGTGTAGACATGGCAGCCTGATCGAAGCAAGCAGATAAAATGAACGGAATAGGGAGCGGGTGAATGGTGAGGGTACCGAATGGAGCAGCTGCTGAAAGAATTTTCAAAGTACGCACGGAATAATAAACTAGCAGTAATAGGAGAAAAAACCCACAAAAATTGTTGTGGTAGTAGAGATGTATACATAAATACATATATCCAAATACACAACACACTCGCAGCTGAGCCCTAAAAGCCGGCCGCAACTTTTGTTTTGTTCATGTCTTTCTGTTGCTTCATACTAACCTACAAAAAAGCGACGCAGACGCAGAGGACGCTACTAACTTCAACATAGCAACCGAACAAGGAGTTGCTCTTTGTATAGAGGCGAGGTGAGTTGGGAAGGGTTGCAAAAAGCTGAAGCTGCGCTGTAAGCAATAAATTGGAAGTAAAGCAGGCCGAAAATAACAAGCAAGGAAAACAGAAGCAAGTCAGAAAAATTAGCGATGAGATAAGAACTTAAAGGAATCTATTGCAAAATCAAAGCGCCATTAATTTTTAGTTGGAAGAATAGAAAAAATCTTTGACAATTTTACAAACATTTATTTTTAGGCACTTTCTTTTAATTTGAATAGCTGAAAAACTTTAAACTAGTTTTTTTTTTAGATTTAGAGCTTCTGTGCTTTTGCTAGTTTAAATAGGTACCTTTTGCTTTAAGTCGAAAAATGTTAAATAGTTTAAACAAATTTCTTATAGGATTTAAATTGTAGAATACATGACTAGGGATGGCGAAAAAATAAAATAATCGATTAATTAATTATCTGATTAATCACAAAAAAAATAACTGCAATTGTTTGCAATTGTTGAGAAATAATCGATTAATCGATTTCCAAAAGGCACTTTTTTACAGTAGGTATTCACAAAAACACTTTAAAACAAGTAAGAAAGTCTAAGTTCGGGCGGAGCCGAACATTAAATACCCGGCGCAAGTATTAAATATATGTTTTTCCACCTTTCCGAAACCTTCCGCTTCAATTTTGAGTAAATTAGCGTCCTTAAATTTCGAAATATTGAAGTTTCAAGCATTTCTGAAATTTACCGTTATATGAGAAGCGGGCGTTATTTTAGTCCGATTTCAATAATTTTCAACGTTTTGCTTACACGTGGCAAGTACAATAACCATACCGAGTTTGGTACAAATTGGTAGAACGGTTACCGATATACTTATATGTGATCATAAGTGGGCGGTGCCACGCCCATTTTCCAAAATTTTACCATAAACGTATTTCTTGGTAAAGAATTGTTGNTCGATTCGTTTTGGCTGTTACAAACAACCGTTATGTGAACAAAATTAATATACCCTTGTGCACAAGTGCGCTCGGGTATAAAAAAAAATTATAATTCTCTTGTTTATTAGCTTTAGATAACATAAAACGAGTATTTTTAGAGCCGATAATTATTTATTATTTACCAAAGTTTGCAACAACAAAAGTTTTGGTAGGCGTTTTGTTGTTAAGCGGTTGCGTTTCTCAGTGGCTGTAGCACCAGTTTTTGAAAAATCACATTATATTTTCGAAAGTCCGTAAAGTTTTGGGTAAACAGCTTTCATTTTCTCCCAAGCGTCGATGATATTCCGCTTTAGTTCTAGGATTTAACAATTAAAAAAAAACCAATTTCATCTTGTCGGTGACCCAAATCATCATATTTTCGCCTTCGTTTGTGTACAAGAGATTTATGAGGGGCCCAAAGATCGATGGATGGGTTTTAGACAACTACAGAATTAATATTTAATAATAATAAATCGTAAATTGATCAAAAATAATCGATTTATTTAATCAAGTGATGAATCGCTGCCATCCCTATATATGACTCTTGGAATGTGTTTTAAGACCGCTCTCTTTTAAGAAATCAAAATAAACTCAATAAAGTTGGTAAACACATATTATCATATCAAAATTGTGAAGGTTGCTGAACACATCCTTAGAAAGTTTGAGCATCAAAAATATTAACCGTAGAATAAAAAATCCCAAGGATGAGTGAGAACAAAATTCTCAACCGAAGAAATCGTGAAATTTAGTAGAATTATTATAATCGGTTAGCGAGACTAGCTCATATACAGGTCGAATACGAATATTGTTCTTGGTTACCAAAGAAAGGGTCTAACAAGTTGCGAACAACGATGCTATACATCTATTTAATGTTGCCATGGCTGCAGAATCACATCAGGAGTAACCACTTCAGAGTGGATTTTTCATAATAAAATTAAAGTTTTTGATGTATTCCACTTCTGAATTTTGCGAAAAAAACAAACTTTCCTTACCAACTTTGGAAACTCCAAATGTAGGCTGCAACAAAAGGGAACTTAAGAACAACGTTTGGGCGTTGCTCAAGTGATTTTTAAAAGCCAAATCCAACATTTTACAACCGAATATTTCATTTCTGACTTAGATGAATATCTGAAAATAAAGACTCTACAAGAATACTACCAAGTCCTTTTAAATATCAAACAAACATACATTTGTATTTTCCACCACCTCCCTCTCCCACTTCTTCAAATTGACATGCGGCACGTCTCGGCTACAGCCACAGCTGCCTTTTTGTTTGTTTGCTGTTGTCATCGATGCTTGTAAAATTGCGGTAGGACAAGAGCGTAAACAATTGTGTGTCTGTGTGGGACGATGCCAGCGGTGCTGGCAAGTCAACAAGCTCACCCCCAAATAAGGGAGTGCTGTAGCTGAAAACAGCAGCAAAACAGAATTGAGATGCGTTGCAACTTGCAGCCAATCTGAGGCAACGAAGCGAAACGTCAAACTTCGTGTCGGCATGCAGTGGCGAGCGAGGTGAATTGCTAGCACGCAGTGGTGAATTTTCACTATCAGCAAGGGAAAACACATGCCACCAGCTAGCAACTAGCCTACTACAGTTACCGTTGTGGCAACAGGAAAAGTGGAAAAACGTGCAAGGAGCGTGCCAGCGTGCCAGCGTACCAAACAGCAGCCACTGGAGCTGTACCAAGCAAACTTTTGTTGCAGCAACACATGCGACGGTGGCGCTTGATTGAAATCAGTTGTGCGTCAGCTTTCAAGCGTTACGGTTATGCAAAGCGCGAAAAGCGGTGAAAAAAACTTATTGGAAGTAAATATTTGTTATGCGGCAGCAGCTAAATAAGAAAAAATAAAACTTACGCGTCGTGTAAGGTGGCCAAAGGTGTACGCTTTCGATAACAGCAACGACAGGCAGGCAGGCGGCAAGTTGGCGTTGCACGTTTGTGGGTAAACTGTGTGTTCCGCGCGGCGTATGTAAATGCAAGTGCGTGTACATTAGCGTCCATAATTTCATGAGCGGGCTGACAAGTTTGTGCAACAACGAAACGCAATGCGATTTCCATTAGCGTGTTTTGTTTTTTTTATTTCTTTGTGGCAGCAAAATTTTTTCGTGACATTGCAACTTTGACAAAGCGAAAGCTGTTTGACGAACAATAAAATAAATGGTTGATTTAATATTTTTTTTATATCGACTCAGATTTAATTTGACGATATTAGGATAACGGTGGAATGTGATTATTTACTAAATTTTTTATATTTTTTTAATTTTAGATTTTATGAATGGCGATTTAGACATTTGCCATAATTTGTTAGGAAGCTATTTCTTGCAGTAATGTAAAATATTTTCATTTCTAAAACTTTATTTTTATTCAAGTTCAAAAATCATAACTTTTTATAAATTTTCATCTACAAATTGAAAATACAAATTTTTGTTTCGCTTTCTAAAATATAACTTAAAAAAAATTTATATTAAAAAAACTCATTAATTTTAATGGATGTGCTAGTTATTTTGCATATTTCTGAATTTTTATTTTCGTTGGTTTGCAGTTTATACTTGATTTTTTTCTGTCCAAATTTCCTTAAGTAATTTTTGTTAGTAAATATGTAGCTTTCTCTTTAATGCCTTAGCTCTCGTACACTTTTTGATTTTTCTTTTCTTCATCAGCAATTGAAGTTTTTAAGATTTTTTTATTTGAAAAGAAAGTATTTAAAATTTAACTTTTAAATCTATTAAAAAAAAAACTTTGAATTACTGAAAACTTTTTGTATTTTTTTTTTTTATATATTTAAAAAAACTTTTGAATTACTGAAAACTTTTTGTAATTTTTTTTTATATATTTAGAATGAATTTCCTCTCCGAAAGAGCTCCGTCCGAATTTTTTTTATTATTTTTATTACATTGTATGTATGTATGTATACGTTAATTTTTTGTTCAATTAAAATTTTTTCGTCGGCATTTGCATTTCCAACAATTTCAAATGGCCCCGAAATTTAATATTCTGTGGGGGGAATCTGTTTTTTTGGAATGTTCGTCATGCGTGATATTGTGCCGCATGGGATTGTAATTGGGTAGCTGACTGTAAATGCAAAGCAGTGCAATACAAACTGTGTTGGATAAAGGTAAAATGTACATTTTGCTTATTTTAATACTATTAAAAAAAAATTTTTGTTCGTAAAATTTACTTATTTATATACATATCTTGAAATCTACGACCGAATTTGAATTTCTGATGAAATATTTTTTTTTTTAAGTTATATTAAAATAAATTGTTAACCCAAAAATCAGAATTTGGTAAAACGAAAAAAGTTCTATAAATTATGGCATTTTGAAAAAAAAAAATAACCACTTTAGGAAAACACCTATACGCTAAATATAAGAATAAATCACAAATAGTCTACACCTAAAGTAACTGAAACTTTATAATTTCAAAAAGTGATAGCATGCTGCGCCATATTTTATTAAGATTTCTTTTCTTTTTAAAAATATTTACTCAGCAATACATCGATAAAGCTTTAAATAATATTTGTGCACTTAATAAATTAAATTGAAAATGTAGTTTTGATTGGAAATTAATTCTTTTTCGGACGAAATTTTAAAAAATTTGCGTAGAAGGAAAAATTAACGAGAAAACTGAAAGAAAGCATTAAATCCGTTACATTTGAATTTTTAGTGAAATTTAGATTTACAAATATAGTATAAAATTGAAACAATTTCATAAAAATTTGACTGAACGTGAAAGATTTCAGTAAAAGCCGTTTTATGATTAATTTTTGTGGAAAACAACAGAATATAAAATGTTATTAGGCCAGAAATTACAAAAAAAAAAAAACATTTTAAATTGCATAGAAATTTAAATTAAACAAGTAAGAAAGTCTAAGTTCGGGCGGAGCCGAACATTAAATACCCGGCGCAAGTATTAAATATATGTTTTCCACCTTTCCGAAAGCTACCGCTACATGATAAGCCGGGGTGTATACATTTTAAGTAAATTAGCGTCCTTAAATTTCGAAATATTGCAGTTTCAAGCATATCTGAAATTTACCGTTATATGAAAAGCGGCCTCAATTTTAGTCCGATTTCAACAATTTTCAACGGTTTGCTTTTATGTGGCAAGCACAATAACCATACCGAGCTTGGTACAAATTGCTAGAACGGTTAGCGAGATACATATATGTGATCACAAGTGGGCGGTGCTACGCCCATTTTCCAAAATTTTGTCATAAACGTATTTCTTGGTAAAGAATTGTTGCAATCATCAATTTTGAATAAATTAGCTTCAATATTTACTGATTTATCGAAGATTTTGTATTTCTCGAAATTACCGTTATATGGGATGTGGGCGTGGTTATTGTCCGATTTTAGAAATTTTCGGCCAGTTGGTATGCTGTACCAGGACCCACAACTGTGCCAAGTTTGGAAGAAATTGGTGTAGCGGTTACCAAGATATACACATGTAACCATAAGTGGGCGTGGCTACGCCCATTTTCCAAAAATTTATAATATTCATGTTTTCCGTCTGAAACTTATTGTAAGTATCAATTTTGAGTGAATTATCTTCAGTAGTTACTAAAATATCGCAGTTTTCGTATTTCTGAAAATTACCGTTATATGGGAGGTAGGCGTGGTTATTATCCGATTCCGCCCATTTTCAATACCATCCGTCCCACGCCCAAAAGAAGTTCACGTACCAAGTTTCGTTAAGATATCTCAATTTTTACTCGAGTTATCGTGTGCACAGACGGACGGACGGACGGACGGACGGACAGACAGTCACCGCTTAATCGATTTCTCTTTTCATTCTGATCATTTATGTATACATTTGTCTATATCTATCTCGATTCGTTTTGCCTGTTACAAACAACCGTTATGTGAACAAAGTTATAATACCCTTGTGCACAAGTGCGCTCGGGTATAAAAAGGGGAAAATTAATGAAAGAAAAAAATGGAAATAAAACACAAAGAAATATAAATAATAATTATGCAAACAAAAAATGAAAATATATTAAAATAACTAAAACAAAAGATAAAAAATATAATAACTAAAGCAAATTGAATAAAAAATAAAACTCAGAATCATTAAAGGAAAAATTAAGAAATAAAAGCTTTATTAAAAAATTAACACTGAGAAATAAAAAAAACATATATATATTTTCCTTTTCCAAAAATTTCGAGAAAAAAAATTACGCATTAAGTGAAGAAATTTATCATATGTGACGTATGTAGTTAAGAAACCAGTCATTCTGAGACCCATCTCTTTAAAACGTTAAAGTTTTTACTTCATGTACCAACCTTTGTCATTTTCTACAAAAAGACTTGACTAAACATGTTCATTTTTAATTATCTATCGTTGAGTGTAAAAATTATCACTCTTTGTCTGAAACTAAAATTTGCGCGCTCTCAAACTTTCTGGGAAATATGTATGTAGTTGTTGAATCAAAACTTCCATTTTTCACATTCCATTCACGCGCTGGACCATTTTTTTGTTTTGTTTGCTTTAATTTTTGCACATTTCACTTAAATCTGCAGCTGACCAACGCCAAGCGCATCTTCGACCAAATGCGGCTAGCCAATTAACCAGTCATGCAGGCTGGCAGCTAGTTGTTGTTTTTGTAGTTTGTGTTGTTGTTATCGGAGCATATGCACACGTTAGTTGAAAAACTTTCACAGCGTGCAATCCGTCTTTTTTTCAAATTTTTCTGTGATATTTTTTGAGTATTTACGGTTGCAATCATCAAAAAGCAAATGAATGCAAACGAAACGCTTTGAAAGTGAAAAAAAAATCAAAGCTTGTGATGCATATTTTTGAATAAAAATTTTTGCGAATTCATATTTTGTTTTAATATTTTATTTTTTTACCGTTTTTTTTTTGTTTGTTTGTTTAGTTTTGCATTACTTTGGCTTTGTGGCAGCGTTAAGTGCGTTGAACTCACTTTTATTGATTAGTTTTGCTGAACAAAAGTGTCAATTAGAGATTTAGCGTGAAAACAACAAAAGGAAACATTTTTTATTAGTTGGCAAAAAATTTGTAAAATAGGCGAGAATGAAACTTTGCGAATTTCACTGCAATGAACATGTGCATGAATTATTTAAAAATTAAATTTGTATATGCTATGAACTCTCGATTCTTGAATTTTTAAGCGAATGCTGCAAAATTTTTGATTGATTGATAAGAGACAGAAATTAGTGGATATGAAACAAGCAAATTTCGACAAGCAATGGCAGACCTTCGAGCGTATTCTGCCATGAAAAAAAGCTTCTCATAAAAAATAAATTTAAAACTTTAAAAATGCATTTTTTGAGCGCACAAAAAAAAATTCCAAAAAATTTAACAAATCGTAAGGCAATTCATCTAAAAAATATTCATTAGATAAAAAATTACATATTCTAATGCCGAATTTGCACAAGGCATTAAAATGAAAATTTCAGGAATTTTAAAAATTCCAAAAAAATATATCCCATTGTTATTCATTATCGGTCAAGCCTTAAAAGTTGTGAATGAGTAATCGTTTAAAATCAACATTTCATATTAAAAATTAAAAAAAGTGTTTTGAAAAAGAAAAATTTTAAATAATAAACTGTACCAATCGGCCCATTTTTCGCAAAGTTATGGACACTTAAAAAGAAACGCTTTTTTATCGAAAATCAATAATTCAATTGCAAAGTCGATTTTCGTAAGGCTGTTTTGTATTTTGCAAGCAAAATTTTTCACGAAAAAATCTCGTTTAAAATAAGAAAATTATATTATATTCTTTTAACGTTTCAATGTTTAGTTAAATTACTATTTTAGGTTCAAAATTGTTTCTAGCTTTTTCATAACGCTTTTAAATTTTTTCTTAGTGAGACTTTTTTATGCGGTCCCCTGCCATAGCATGAAAAAAGAAAATTTTTTTCAAAAAGTTGTGCAGAACAGTTTGTAGCTATTTTTGAAGCTTTTGAAAAAACTTGTTTGTCCCTATCTATCGCACAAAAACAGGTTTGACTGTACGTATACAGTGAGCGCCAAAAATAAGTATACCCTGACGTTTTGACGAATTTATTTATATTTTCCATACCAATTTTTTTCTTATTTTTTTTTATAAAAATATATTTCATTCAACAGCAAAAACCACGAGAATACATTTTTTTTTTAATTTCATACAGAACTCGGGAAGATGTCCTTTTTTGTAACAGGTAATCCCGCGAACAGCAGGTCCAATTTTCGTGAAATTTTTTTTATAAATAGCTTTCAGCAGCCACCATGTCAAGGGCCACAAAAATTTACTTTTTTCCGGAAGGTTGACCATGGATCGATATATTCGAAAAAATCTTATTTATGGTGCGATTTGCTTGAAATTTGGCAAGCAGGTAGCTTTTTGCTTGGATTAACGTATAGGATACCTTTTTCTGATAGGTGGGCTAGGGACCGATGTATTCGATCCGATCCGATTTACTGAAATTCGGTACACGTATTAACATTATAGATAGAAGAGAATTTAATTATTGTTTTGCACTTCGAAAGGTGTTTTTAGTCGTCGTACGACGCTGGCTTGGTCATGTGGAACGATTGAACAGAAACGCTCCAGCTCTGAAGGCATTTAACACGGGTCACTATGCCGGTAACAGAGGAAGAGGAAGGCCTCCTCTGTGTTGAAAGGACCAGATGGAGAAGGACTTGGCATTTCTAATTGCCGTCAGTTGGCAAAGAAGGGTTGCTTTGTTGGACCCAGCTTCCTCTATATTTTTTACCTGAACTGGCATAAATACATAAATAAAAATTTTCCCACAAAGTATTTATGTAGATACGGGTACGTATTACCAAGGTGTATTAAACAAGGTGTGATTGACAACTCAGTGCGGCTCTCTTTTAGGGTACTATAATGTCAAAAAGTATAAACAAACGAATTAACCCTTATGCATGCATGTATCTTGTCAGCACTGATACCAAGGCTTTTATTTTGATTATAGTTTTGTTTTACTTAAATTACCTGGAATATATATATTTTGTCAATAAAATAAAACAAATTGTTTATAAAATCGTTTTAGCAATTTTCTTGTTTTTAATTGCCCAAGTTTTATGCTTTTGTGCGTTTATTTTTATATTTAAATTTTTTATTATGTGGTTTAAAACATCGCTCTATTT